ACCCCCACACACACACCCACACACACACACACACACACACACACACAAATTAAAAGGAATGTCTGGCTTATAACAATTTCCAGAGCCTGTGGGGGAGGCTCAGCTGTGTTGTATTTAACATTTTCTTGGTGCACTCAGTGTGCTGAGTATCTCTAGGCTGTTGCTTCCCACAGTGGGAAGAACTTGTTCACTTACTGTCTATTGTTTGGTTTTTATTTGCTTTTGTACTTCAGGGGACTAAACCAGGGTTTCTTTGTTTTTTTTTTTTTGTTTTGTTTTGTTTTGTTTGTTTGTTTTTTGGTTGTGAGCTTAGCCTTTAGTGTTTGCCTACAAGTCTGCCTGCAGGCCAGAAGAGGGCACCAGATCTTGAAGGATGGTTGTAAGCCATCATGGAAATTGAACTCAAGATCTCTGGAAGAGCAGCTAGTGTTCTTAACTGCTGAGCCACCTCTCCAGCCCCAGGGTTTCAAATATACTTGAGCAAGCACTTAGCACTGAGTTGTAATTCTGGCTCTTAAAACATTTTTAAGTTATTTTTTTATTTATTTATATTTTTTGAGATCTAGTCTCTCTATATAGCTCTGGCTGTCCTTGGACTCTCCCTATGTAGACCAGGCTGACCTCAAACTCACAGATCCAAATGCCTGTGCTTTCCTAGTGCTGGTATTAAAGATGGGCAGTATCACACCCGGTCTAAATTATTGTTATTTTATGTTGTGGGTGTTTTGCCTATGCATGTCTGTACTGCCTTTGTGCAGTGCCCATGGAAGCCAGAAGAGGGCATTGGATCACCAAGGACTGGACTTGCAGATAGCTGTGGATCTCTGTGTAGGACTCAAAGCCAGATCTCCTGGAAGAACAGCAGTGTTCTTCACTGCTCAGTCATCTCCAGATCCCTCTCTTTTACTCTCTGCTTTTGAGACTGAGTTTTGCTGAGTTTCCCAGGCTGGTCTTGTACTTGGTACCCTCCTGTTTTCTTCCCGAGTCAGTGGGATGTAGGCCAGTGCCTGTCTATTTGACTGTGGTCCCAGGGGCTCCAGGGAAAAGGTTATCTCTGTAGTTTCCTCAGGGGTAGTAGCAAATGTCATTGTCAGATCCCAGCAGAGAGGCAAATGACAATGGCATGGCTGCTTCTGACGCTTGTGGAACCTCAGCTGGTGTCTCCTGCCTCAGCTGTGAACACGGAAGTACCCACTTTTTTCCAGGAGATTAGTTGGTATACAGTCAAAAATAAGCCAATAGACACTCCTCTCCCTAACCCTCTAGGGGGCTCTGCTGCCTCTAGATTAAAATCTGAATAATTTTGTAAGGAAGATGGGCAAGGGACCTGGGTTTGCCTGGCTCCCACCTGATCTCCTTGTCTGTGCACTTGTTCCCTGGGCCTCAACAGCACTTGCTTTCCTCTGCCTGGTCTTGTCTCCGCTGTTGGAGGCCTTTGCACGTGTCCATCCCTCTGCCCAGAGAGCTGAGCCTTTCAGAGAGTGCAGGCCATTACTCTCACCATTGAGGCCCCATCTCAGTTCCTATTGATAAGGTGGTGCTGAGGCCCCGGCCCCAGAACTCTCGAGTTCCTCTCCGGGGTAGGTGGTCATTCTGCTCATTTCATTTGCTTCTCTGCTTTATCTCATCCTCCCAGAAACCACTCGATCCTATGTTGAAGCGTTGTTTTCCTGATTTCCCAAGTTAAAAGATCACCCTACCCTCCCCAGAGCTGGGGCCACATGATGCCTCCCAGGCCTGACTGAGCAGGCACCCAGTAAACAGGAGCTGACTGGGTGCAAACAGCACATCCCAGTGTGGTTTTGAAGGTTTTCGGTTTTCCTGTGGCACCCAACAACTCAAATGATTAAGGGCCAAACTGATGGCTGTCTCAGAAACAGAAATGCCATTAATTGCCCATTCTCTGTCCCTCATAAATCACTGTGTTGACTTTGGCCCCACAGGAGTTTCATCAGGACGGAAATGGCCCTGAGAATGTGGGGATTTACAACCTCTCCAGAGGAGTCAACCGTTTCTGCCTGTCCAAACCAGGTGAGCCTGGGTGGTGGGAGGGTGAGGCCAGGGTGGGCCCGAACGGCAGAGACCCTGGGTCCTTTAACCTCTCTCCTTGCTCTGTTGAGATGTAGTTCACACAGCTTGACGTTTACCTGCTTGGGAGCTCAATGATGGAGCAGCAACCAGCATGCTTTTAGGGCCTGGGCTTATCCCTACTGCCACACAAACAGCACAGTTGATTCACCTGCCGTGATGTGTGATAAGTGGTTTCTGTTAAGTTTTCCAGATTGTTCAGTCATCACCCTGGTCCCAGCCCTGGGCCTGATCCTGCTCTTTGGCTTCTTACATGTAACTTAGTTTTGAAGATGAGCCACATCGTAGTGTACTGGTGCCGTGTTGAGTATTAGTCCACATTCTGTGTGTGTAGACATTAGTCATTGCACTGAGATTGCTTCTGTCTGAGGTATTAGGAATGACGTGGCTGTGAGCTCTGTGCATAGCTTTGTGCCTATGTGTTTTAATTCTCATTTAGGTTCCTCAGAATGGGACCTTGTAATCATATGATAATTTATGTGTAACTTGTAAAAGAAACTACCCATTGATTTCCAGAGAGATTGCACCATTTGGCATCCACACTACCATGCCCGGGGCCTATTTCAGTCACCCAGTACTCTCTCTGTAGATGGCAAACCCAGTAGAGATCAGGGCAACCTGCTGCCCTCTCCTGTGTGGTGGTGTATACCCCACTGTGTGCCCACCTGGGGTGGCGCTGGGCTGTAGTAAGGGGCCAGTCAGTGTCTGTTGTGGAATGTGGGGTAGGGGAGCTAATCATGACCCCCGATGCCCACTGCACTGGGCCTGCTCTGTGCAGTGAGAACAGAAAGAGACTTGAGGCTTCTGTAAGAGTCAAAATACTGATGAATGAGCCTGTGAGGGATTAAAGTGTTAACTTGACTCATCTTGGCTTGACTGCATTCCTCCAGCAGGTGGTGATTTGCCCCTCTGACCGAGGTGTCACGATACTCAGGTCTATGCCGAGAAGTGTGTGCTTTTGCAGGCTGTGAAGTCATTAAGTTCTGGACAGTGAAGACCACTCCAGAGCAGGCTGTGAAGGGAGAGAGGGGTCTGGCACAGGAAAGCAGCCTGCCTGATGTTTCCAGTTCCATTATCTCAGGATGTGATATGCTTGAGCTTTCAAATGAGGCACGCCTCCTTCTCAGCACACGGGCTGGAACTGGAGTTGCCTAACAGAACCATTCTGTTCTCAGCAAATGACTTCTGGTTTTCTCTATGTAGGGGTGTACAAAGTGACCTTTAACTCCTGCCACCGGTTTGAGCAGGCCTTCTACACCTATGACACGTAAGCCTAGAGACAGAGTGCTTTGTGGTGGGTATGTTCTGGGGGGTGGTATTTACTTCTTCTGTCTTTTTGTTTGAGTCTTCTTCATGTGAGCACACAAATATGTTTCTGTTGGGTTTTTGTTTTTCCTTTTAGAAGAGGTAAGGTTAGGAATTAAGGTGAATTTCTAGATGTGGGTTTTATGATATTTGGATATTACTGAGGAAATAGAGCAGACTGTCCTTCCTAAGAATTCTGTAAACGCAAGGGCCAGCAAGAGGGTTCACTGGATGAGGTGTTTGCTGAGCCAGTATTCAAAACCAGGAAACTATGTACAGGTAGAGGAAAATGGACTTCAGGGGGCTTTTCTCTGCTAGTACTTGTGAGCTTCCGTAGTTTCCTTATCCTGGCCTGCGGGCTGGTTCTCACAGTATTGGGGTGGAGAGGGCCCAAGGCAATACTGCTGTCCCTTGGAGTCTGTCTGGATTTGCTTTTAGCAGCTTCTCTAGACTCTGACAGCCATTCGCCACCATGTCCTGGGAACTATCATCACAGACAAAATGATGGATGTCACAGTGACTATCAAGTAAGATGGATGTCCTGTGTGGGCATGGGTGAGGCTGGTGGAGAGGCCCTGGTGTGAGGGCTCACAGACTCCAGGATGGCTTTGAGCTCTCATCTCTAAGTGTACACACCAGTGGCCTACCTCTCTTACATCCAGGTGATGTTTGTAAACCCAGAGCAGCAGAGTCTCAATTGTTTTCTAACAGCTGGAGTCTGCATCTTAAGTTTGTTTGAATTCTTCAGCAGGGTCTGTTCATTATAGTCCAAGTATTTTAGTGACTTAAAAATGGCCTTTCCTCTTTAGATCTTTTCTCGAGGACTTGAGGAGTGGAGGTGGCTCCTGTGTAGGTTGGAGGAAGTGCTTGGGAGGTGGGTTTTGCTCAGGGGTATGCTATGCTGTGCTGGGGTGTCTGACATCCCAGCTTTCTCAGGAAGTGACAGACTTTGGGCAGCATGGCTGTCTCAGATGGAACTCTGAGGAACTGGCTCCCTCCCCTCTCCAATTGAAGTTGGCTTTGTCACCAGCCATTTGCTATTTTCTTCCCATCTGCCACGAATGCTAAGAACGCTCAAACATGGAGACACATGCACACACATAGATATGAACACGCATACACAGATAAACACACATCCATGGAATAGTTTGTTTGTTTGGTGTTCTTAGGGACTGACTGCAGAACCAGGGCACTGCACGTGCTAGGCAGTCGCTTCTCATTGTCTCTTTGAGACAGAGTTTCCATCAAGTTGTCCAAGCTGGCCTTGGACTTGCTATGTGATCATTCTCTCTCAGCATCCTTCATAGCTAAGATGACCAAACTGTGACATCTTGTCCAGAAAATACTATTGAGAATTGCCAGAGTGCCACCCTGGGCTTCCTGGACCACTGAGAATATCCCTGTGGTACTGACAGTCTCATGGGGAAACAAACACGGCTTGGGGTTGGGTAGGGATGGGGGTGGCTGTCTTCCTGTCATCAGCTTGTGTTGACTAGGAGCTGTGTTTCTGGCTGGACACTACCACTAGACTCTTCTGGGGATCTTGACCCTGCCAGGCTGTACCCAGCTGCTGGCTGTTTTATCTATGGCCCTGCTCTGTATTCTCTTGTTCAGAAGGGACATCTCCCACCTGATTTGTGACCCTTGGTCATTGTTCCTTGCTCCCCCTGGTCCAGCCAACCCCTCAACATCCTTTTTCTTTACAATGAAAGTATATTCAGATCTGTTCCAGGTCTAGTGTTTGATTGTCCACACTGTTGCCACTCTCCATGGTTTTGGACTTGGGTCTTTGCAGCAGTCTCTTGTCCCTCCTGTCATGGCTGTGCCTCAGGAATCAGTGGGCTCCACACAGTGGCCAGAGTGATTCTAGTGTGGAGAAAACTCAGCAGGGCCGTGTGGAGAAAACTCAGCAGGTCCCCACCCAGACTCATCCAGGACTTTGAAGTGTGTGTGAGCCCTGCTTCCTTCCCCTCTGGTCCCTCCGGTCTCTCTGACCTGCTGCTCTTCTATGAGACTTCCTCCCAGGCTTTTTGGTCTTGCCATCTCTTGAACACCCAGTGAACTTTCCCCCAGAGGACGTCACCCTGCGCCCACTTTCCTGAGCTCCTCTCCACCATGACCTCAGTCAAGTTCTCCTCTTCCTGCCACTCTTTGCCCAGTGTCACCTTCTCAGAAGGACTTTGACAGGGCACCATGCCCTCTACTCATTGTGCCCCGCAACTGCTTCCTTTTCTACTTGCATTGTGTCTTGTGTGCCTTTTCCTTTAACATCCGTCTCCTGCCTACTGGAGTGTGACTTCTCAGGTCATGGAGTGTGGGCCTGGTGTTCCCACTTCTTTATTTTGTGCTTCGTTTTTTTGAGACGGGGTTTCTCTGTAGCCCTAGCTGTCCTGGCTGGCCTCAAACTCAGAGATCCCTGCCTCTGCCTCTCGAGTACTGGGATCAAAGGTGTGGGCCACCACGCCCAGCTCCTCATTTCTCAGCTTTGAGAAAGGTCTAGAGTGTGGATCCAGGGACCATGTAGAAGCGGCAGGTTTTCATCATGTTGTAGGGTCTTTTATTCCAGCCAGATCTGCTAGCATCTTTGGCCATGCTGCATCATGTTCTGTTTTTATTTTTTTATTTTATAATTTTTTGTGTGCACACATGTAAATGCAGGTACACGTGTGGGGTGACAGCAGTCAATCTCAGGTGGTATCCTTTTGTTTGAGAAAGGCAGCGTCTCTTATTGTCTTGGAGCTTGCTGATCATGTTAGGCTATCTGGCCAAGGAACCCCAGGGTCCACCTGTGTCAGCCTCCCCGGCACTGGGATTATAAGCACACTGCCACATCTGGCTCTTTTGAGAATGTGTGTTTGGGGACTCAAACTCAAACCTCATGGTTACATATCAAGCAAGCACTTTCCTCAGCCCCATTATTTAGTTTCTGCTAAACTAATTCATGCTCATTATTATTTTATTTTTATTTTGGTTTCTGTATATGGGATGTTTTGCCTGCCTGTATGTCTATCATGAAGCCAGAAGAGGACCTGGAATCAAACCCAGGTCCTTTGGAAGAGCAGCCAACAGCTGAGCCATCTCTCCAGGCCCCTAATTAGCGTGTTTGTTTGTTTGTTTATTTATTTATTTATTTATTTATTTATTTTATCTTTTTATTCCTTTTATTAAAATAGATTCTTTTACTATACAATACAATTCTTTTACTATATATCCTGTATATTACCCCTCCCTCTACTCCTTCCAGTTACCCCCAACTCCCTTCCCATCTGAATCCACTCCTTTTCTGTCTGTCATTAGAAAAGAACAGGCTTCTAAGAGAAAAAAAAGCAAACATAACAAAACAAAACATGTTAAGATTAAACAAAAGCGATCACATCATAGTTGGACAAGGCAAACCAATAGAAGCAAAAAAAGACCAAGAGAAGGCAGAAGAGTCAGAGACCCATTCAGTCACATATTCAGGAGTTTCATAAAAATACTAAACTGAAGGCCAGAATATATATGCAAAGGAATTGATACAGACCCATGTCAGCCCTGTGCATGCTCCTCAGCCTCTGTCAGTACATGTGAGCTTTGATCAGTTGATCTATAGGGACTATAGTCTCTATAGTCTCCTGTGGTCTTCCATCCCTTTTGGCTCTTTTTGTTTGTTTTTGTTTTTTCTTTTCCTTTTATTTTTTATTTTTTTTATTTGAAATACAAACAAGATTGAATTACATGACGATCCCAGTTCCCTTCTCCCTCCCTTCCTCCCCTACCACCCCAACTAAAAACCCTACCTATCACATATCCTTTCTTCTAATCTACACCTGATTCAACCTTTCTGCTCCCTCATGACATCTGTATCCCTCCTTTTCTTCCCTTCTCATTTTCTCATTCTCGTAGCTCCCTCCCCCTTCTTCCCATGTTCTCAATTTGC